TAGCGATTGTTGTTGAGGATGTGTTATTACTAGTAGTAGAATTTGTGCTTGAGGATGTCGTATTACTAGTAGTAGAGATTGTTGTTGAGGATGTGTTATTAGAAGATGAATTTGATGATCCTGTATTTGTAGAAAGTGTTACACCTGTGATTTGTGAAACAGCTGAAGTTCCTCCTGTTCCAGTTGCACTCGATGATGTTGTCATACTATTAGTTACGGACGTGATTGAAGTTTGCATTGTTGTGATGTCGAGTGTTGTCTACATATATGATTGTGTAATAAAAAAAAGAATTGCAAGAATCGTGTCTTTTATATAATCGACAACGATGTGAGAATATGTATAGATATATTCTTAATTTTTTTTTTGGAAAACTAGTGAAGAAGAGTATGAAGAATAAGGCACACAGAGGCATATAGAAAGCTGAAATCATAAGAAGATTCATGCATACAATAGATGAAAGCATACTAGAATGATTAAAGATGCGTGCTTAATATTATCATAATCTCGATGATAATATAAATTTTTGTTTCTAATTAACTCATAACAATTCTCTGTTGAGAAGTTCAAAATATGATGACATACCTGAGTCGTACATAATCCTGATGAAAAATTGGCACGAGTAGTACAATTCACCGTTGTTAAACTATAGAAAGTACTTGCATTTGTCCCGTTTGCACAATTAAAATCTTGAGTAATGTTAAGTGAATTGTTTTGATATGAATTTCTTAAGTTATATGAATTACATGTACAATCAACCAGTACATTATTACTTATTGATTTAAAACTAAGAAGATAATTTCGTAATGACGTAAAATCATTACAAAAACCATAAGTTAATGCTGTTGCATCACTAATAATAATTGTACCATTAGTTACACTTGATGGATAAATAACGGTTGCTGTTGAATTAGTATAATTTCCTAATGTTGTATTTTGTGGATTCAAAATATTTGTATCAACAATAGGATTATTATCAAGATCAATTGTAATATTTTTACGTGTAGAAACAAAAAGATCAATATAATTTATAGAATTATGTTCCAGATCAAGGTAACGTAATGAAGTTGGTGTTGGTGTAAGAACAGAATAAGGTATCTGTGTAAGATTATTATATGAAAGATCAAGTGAAGTTAAATTTTTAAAATCACCATTTGCCATATTAACTGATGTTATTTGATTATGTGATAAACTAACCGTTTGAAATGAATCAAGACAAGGAAATGTTGCATCATTAAGTGTAGTAAATGATTCATAACTTAAATCAATGTCGCCAGACGGTAATGAACAAAGATATGTTGGAAGTATTGAAATAGTTGGATAAAACATAACTTTAGTTATATTAGACATATAATCACTTGTTAATAAAGTTGCAGGAATTGTTGATAAAGTATTTGATGTATCATTTGTACAGGTAATATTCATTGTAGTTGTATTAAAAAATGTAAAAAAACATGATCCAGGATTCATATTTACTGTTTCATAATGTGGATACGTCGACTAAAAATAGAAAGAATTAGAATTTCAGTTTGATGTATTTCAAATTACATAAAGAAATCTTTTTCAGGTTAATAATGAAGAGATCTTACCGCATTTGATGTTGGTATTGTAATATTTCCAATAGTAGTGGGAGCACCTTCATCCTCCTCTGGGTTAAGGTTACATAATCTTGGATACACTTTTGTGAAGTCGACACTTGAAGTAACACAATTACAACTGCAGTTCACAAACGGCATACTAACTGAGACGTCGCCCTTGCCCTCGCTTACGACTATCGGTGAACAACTAGCATTTGCTATTGGAATACCAGCAGCAGGGAGAGGACCCCCAAAAAAACTTCGAATATACGCTTGATCACAGCTGCAATTAATTTTTGTCGTACCAAAATCAATGTAACCGATAGCTTCTGTAAATGTCGGTGCAGAAAAATTTGTATTGAGTGAAGAAAGCCATGTACTCGCCTCGTCACATTCATCATACATTTCATAAACTGCATCGGTAAGATTTATTGTCGGACCATTACCAGTCAGGAAAATATTAGCGTAAGTTCGACTGGCTGCATTGGATGTATTCCTGGGAATATAAAGATATTTATTTGTTATAGTAGTAATTTGATTATGACTAAAATCTGCACTTGTCTTTACATCCAATGCCCATAATTCGAAAGTTGTTAAGTTATTATTAGAAAAATCAATAATATTTAATGATGATACATTATAAAAAGCATAAGAAGGTACTTCAAGAAGCCGATTATATTGAAAATAAAGATTTTGTAAATTTTGCATATTATATATCAAATAAGATGGAAATTGTAAAATATAATTATCACTAAGATCAAGTGTGTTTACATTTGAGAAACACGTTGTTAATGCTGCTGTTGGATCGACTGTAACGATTTGATTATTTGAAAAATCAACAGTCTAAAATTATTTTATATTTATGAAAATAATCAGAAAATTTCATTTTCTAACCTGTAAATTTGGTAGTAGACATATATTAGGTGGAATGGATGTGAACGGACCTTTGGCGGTATCATTTACACCTTGTGCTATAAATACTGTAATCGCACTTAATTGTGTTGTAGTTAAATCGTATAATCTTAGCATTTGATTACTGACATTTGATGGACATGTGAATGTCATACTATTTCCAGTAATTGTTCTATTACATTCATGTGTAGATGAACATACCTAGATGAAATCATTAGATATAATAAAACTAGAAAATAAATAACTTACCTGCCATAATAATGAAATTATGGCAAATAATAATAAGTAGTTAACCATATTTTCTCTATAATTCGGTTATTTAACTTAAATCATCACCGGACGAAATTATCTAAAATCGATTAATATGTAGTTTATTTCAATAGATTTTAAAATGATTGGTTTTGTTTGATTGACAGTAACAGTCTTTGAAAATAAAACGCCTGTACTTATATAAATACATATATATATGATGCATTCAGTTTCATACAACTTCAAAAAAAAGCGCAGGGGAAGGGAAAGAGAAGAAAAAAAATAAAAAAAATTACACTTGTAACAACATCCATGGTGACGATGACAATGCTTGAATTACCTTTAGTTTGTTTTCAATCTTATTTCTATAGTAAAAACGAAAATGTTAACAAAAAAAAACATCCATATTTTACATAGGTTTTCCTTCTAAAAATGCTCTTAGTCATATATTTTTCTTTTCAGTCTTCCAGCTAACATTAGATATAAATGTATCCAAGAAACAAGATGAATGTTTTTTGAACTTCAAGTGTATTTGCACTTTTTGCGCCACTTACTTCTTAAAATTAATAATTTATATTCTTACAGTAAAATTCAAATATAATTTTCTTAGAGTTTAGTATTAGAACCAATAAGTAAGGATAGTTCTTTTTGTTTGTTTCATATGTATACTGTTGTTTATTTGATAGTATTAAGATAAAAAATATATTCACTACAAACTTACATGAAAATATTTCGAATTGTATTCATAATAAAAAAAAAAGTTGAACTTAAAGATGTTATTTTTTTTCTGTTTATTTTGCAAAGTAAACTCACTTGCTTTTCTTCAATGATTAATAAAGACATAAAATACTTTTACTGTAATAGAAAAAAGTTTATTTTTGTGAAAGAACTTATAATAATTGAAAATATATGGAAATTGAATCATAACAGGAGTCATGGTAGCAAAAACATCTCGACGATTCATTTACTCTTACTGTCATCACCTCGTATCTTTCCTTAGGAAACGAATGGCTCTTGTTAACAAGTACACTTTTATAAAAAAAAAAAGAAATCCTTAATAGTTGCCGTCAGAAACATCGATTTTTACTCTCGATCTGTTGACTAAAATAAATAAGACGAAGAAGAAGAAGAAGAAAAAAAAGACAAAGAATAAATCACAATTGACAAATTTGCCGCAATCTTTAAATAAGAATTTTTTCTTTCTCTCAATTTTTTTCTTCTTTGCATTAAAATGCCTCGTGTATATATTGAACAATCTTTATACTATAAATAAATGAATTGTTTTCGAGAGATTCTATTCAAATAACTTTTTCTTAATTAAAAAAATGCAAGTTTTCCATTTTCTTTCTCTTTTTTTTTCTAGTTCGATATTTAATTAAAAAAATTCAGAATAATTTACTGGTCTACATTAGATGAACGAAACAAAGTATAGAAGAAAAAGAAAATTATAATAAAAAAGAAACCATTTGATGACATTCTTATTTACTCGTATGTAAATAAATTCGTCCATGGTTTTGTTATAATAATACATGTTGATTCATTTGCTCAAGTAGTTTCATGCAGGCTTTTTTTTATCAAAAGATTAGTTATAATATGAAATATTAAATCTCTTATAAAACTTAAAAATATTTTAACTCTTTGCAATGATCATCATTCGAATTAGTCATACATCTATTTTGACGTATATACGAAAAATAAATTATATAAAATAGACAATTTTATCTAGAACAAATTGTATCAGTCATGCACAAATAGAAAAACATCATATGATTGCCTAATTGGCATAAATATTGTTAAATTGAAATGTTAATCAATCAAATTTAAAAAAATTTTCAATATAAAATCATGTTTTTATAATCAGAATTATTAACTGTTATAGACATTTTTTTCTGTCGGACAAACTATGCAATATATATATAGATTAACGTTATTTCTTATCTTAAATACAATTGTAAAATACAAAACAAAATAACAAGCACGTTATTACAAGTCATAACAATTCATCATAATAGCTCACATGTATTATATATATATATATATATTATATGTATATTTCACATAGAAATAACGAGAAAAATAAAATAATTTGCCCGTCTTTGTTATTCTATTTGAATTGCATATTTATGATTAGAAGATTCTACATGAATATATATTTATAGTTATTATTTATTGATAACGTTTTGTTTTTCTCCTTCTTATCATTTTTTTTTCTGTGTCCCAACGATTGTTGTCGAGCATGTGAACATTGTAATCGTTTTGCATTACTAACGATGGCCATGCGAATGATTCACGTCTCAGTGTATTATATCGATATAAGTGGGAGTAATAAATACGAAAAAAAAAGAAAACAAAAATATAAGCATAAGAACAAAAGATAATATTCATTTTGTTTGTTTGTTTATCATGCATGATCAATGGTATTTCGCGGTATGATTATTTTTGTTTCTATTACTTATTTCAATGATAATTGTCTAGAGTGAACAAATACCAGAAGGTTTATATTTAATTGAAGCACTTCAATCTGGCAAGTTTATAACATTTACACCTGAACGTTCGACATTAGTACAACAAGATCAAAATGCAGAAGTTAGCTAAGAAATTATTTTTTTATTTTTTTGTTATTCGATTTAACAAAATTTTATAGAACGACAATGAATCACAAGTATTTGAAATTCAACATATTGGTTATCGTGATTTTATTATTCGACATCATTTAACAGGACTTGTACTTACCGTACATAAGTAAATATATATTTGAAAAAAAAACTTTTTCTTAAAAAAATTTATTTTGTTTTGCAATAAGCGCTTCACCATCACCATGTGCTCCAGTCGTTTTATCTCGTTATATGGGAGATCGTACACCGTATCAAACCGTAAATTTTGAACGATCAAATAATCAATCAAATGATATGATTATATTTATAAAACATACACGTATGGTAATTGATATTGATGGTGGAAGTCAAAGTTCAAATGCTCGTCTTCTTCAAATTCCCCAAAAGAAGAATAATTTTGATCAAACAAGTCAACGTTTTCGTCTTCATCCATTTATTAATCGACGTACACAGGAATTAACTAGTACTATTCCCGATGAATTTTTTCGTTAAATAATAATTTGAAGGAAAGAAAAAGGAACAGGAAAGATTTTGTTTAATGTCAGATGATTATTTAGTTGAACTTCTTCATGGATTTAGCTATTTTAATTTATATAGGAAAAGAAAGAAAAAAAATTTTAATTTGTCTGTTTTGTACAAAAAATAATTGTTGTCATATTGTTCTTTTTTTTCGTGTATTGATTAAGGTTTTTTAATAATGAAGACGTCGTTTGGCTTGATTTGTTGTTGAACTTGTTGTTTGCCTATACCTGGTATAAATTCGGATGAATATTTAAATGGTAAACTACCTTTTGTTTGTTGTTTGTTGTTATTTAAATTGGATGGTGGTCTACTAGTAACGGTGACACGTCGAATTGTTTCGTCGCTTGTTGTTGATGATGTTGATGATGATGTTGATGATGATGATAAAGAAGAATTTGAACGTTCTTTTTTTGATAAATCCGATATTTTATCCGAATTTATTGATGTTTCATCACGATTTTGTGGTTTCGAACCTTTTCTCGAAGGTTGATGATGAAATAATCGACTCCAACTTAAATTATGCATGTAGGAATCAAATGAAGAAGAATTATAAATATTTGAATGAGGTTGTGGACGATTTTTTGGTTTGGATTTTTGATTATGTTTATAAGGAACTACTTGATAATTATAATTTTGTTGTTGTTGCTGCTGCTGCTGTTGCTGCTGTTGTTGGATAGGTGGTTGTTGTACTTGTGGTGGTAAAATAGCACGCGCTGGAGGAGTATTTCTATATGGTGAAGCACCATAAAATGGTGCTTGTTGAGCATACATCATTGCATCATTAGGAGCCATTCCAGGATTCATCCTCATCTGTGGTAACATTTGATGAGCTTGTTGATAGGGTACTGCCATAACAAGACAATTTGGAGGTAATGGTGTACCATTCATCATTGCTTGAACGGCTTGGGACATTGCCGCTTGAATATAAGGTGAAGATGTTGCATATGGAAAATTCATAGTTTAATACTAAAATAAAATCAAAAAAAGAATATCGTTTTTCTACTTTGAGTTATTGAATAATAATAATAATATCGTTTTATTCACACTTCTATTAGACACTTTAGAAAAAAGAAAAATGTTCATTAGATATTCAGATGTGTTATATGCCTTATAAACTCTCATGACCAATGCAAGGTTGTGATATAATCTGTTACCCTCAAGAAATCGATGAGTAATGATTATTTTCCTTGAGAATATCTACAATCACAATGTCATGAATCTATAAGAATCAACTGTACTTTAGTTGTCTTCGTCTATTCAATCATAACACAAATATCATTGATACATTTTTATAATAGAAAAGGGAACAAAGAATTCATTTCCTACCTTCTCACTGTTGAAGGTAATTAGAATTTTTTTAATTGATTAAATTTCTTATAGGTCGTCTTTCTCTATTCAGCATACTATACGTCATGCATCATTAAACTCGTTCATATACACATTCACACACCTTTATATATCACCTTGATTGTGTTTTGCCCTTTTTTTTATATTATAGATTTACATTTAGTTACCCTTCAATATATATATATATTTTTTTTTCTTCGATCTGACATTCTCTTCTTTTGAAATTTATTATCTATCGTATTGTATAATGAATCTGTACCGAACTGTCATAAAATAATATTGATATAATTTAAAATATGGTAGAAAATGTAACTTGTCATCAGAATTGATGTAACGTGAAATCATGATAGAGAGAAAGAAAATGAACATTTGTATGTATATGTAGATCAATTACATCTATATATCATTTTAAAAAAAGATGTAATATTCGATTATTGTTTTGATTGAAATGGTGACATTTGATAAATTGTTGATAGAAAAAAAAAAGAATACTTGTTAAAAAGTAACGACTTATATATTTTTTTTTGTCATGAGTAAAAGCCACGATTAATAAATCTTTTTCTTTTTAATATTGTGCGTGCTTATATTACAAATCTTTTTCTTTTCTTGTCTTTGTAATGCTTCTGTTCTATTTTGATTAATCATAAAATATAGAATACAAAAGAAAAAGAAAAACAAACTATTATAGTTCATCTCATATTGACTCTTTTCTAGTTATTCTAGTCGGTAAGATCAATAAGAGAATCTTTGTTCATGTCTACCAATACAATAAAATTCTAATTTATTATCTATTTGCTTCTCGTTTTTTTTGTATTATTTCGTATCATGAATATATAATTATTCCCAATTGCTTTTTGACATGCAATAGAAGATACAAGGTCTATGCAGTTCAATAGATATTTCTTAATCTCAAAAAAAAACAATCATTTTTTATATTAGTTTTCTTTTCCTTCTTGGTTTCAGATACGATTCTTAAGTCATAATGGACTACTATATAAAGTGATGTTTCTCTTCAGAAAATATTCCGAATGATCATAACAAAATAACCCATTTCTTCTATATGAATATAATAACTCATCAATTAATAATAATACCTGAAATATAAATTAATATGTCATATAAAAATATATCACATTCTAATCAATCTTTCAATCTTACAAAAAGTATTATTAATCAACAAATTGGAATAAAATTATCATCGTCTTCTCAATCTATAACAAAAAGAAAATCGAAATTATTATTTATTATTGATTATCAATATATTGATTGGTAAATTTAACTAAATATAAACTATTATCATAAATATAATTTTAGGAGAAAATATTTTAAAGATAAAAAAATCTTTGCTGATTATGATATTCATATTGAACAGGTTTTTGTCATCTATATTTAAATGTTGTTTATATGATGTAGTCTTGTTATGTTTATTTCGTATTGTATTTTATATAAATAATATTTTTAGGCAGAATTTAAAGAAATAAATTTATCTGCTTATTCAAATAATGGAATATTAATTAATATAAATATTTATCGAAATGGAATACATATTGTTCGGTAAGAAGAAGAAGAAGGAAATTGAAATGAATTTCTTATAATTTATTTTATTTTTAGATCATTTCGTCCCGATTTTGTACTTGTTCGACAATATGTTAAAGATGCTAATGAAGATTGGATAAATATTATTCTTGGTATGCAATATGGAGCTGTACCGAGTGTTAATACAATGAGAGCATTGTATAATTTTCGAGATAAACCTTGGGTTGTATGTTTTGCATATTTTTAATTTTCTGAAAAAGAAGTTTTATGCATATATAGTTTGCTGAATTACTTAGAATTCAACGACGATTAGGTGTTGAACAATTTCCATTGATCAATCAAGCTTATTATCCAAACTATCGAAAAATGGTGAATATATTTATATATATAATATTTTAATAATATATATATTTTGTCTTTAGTTTGTTTCACCACCATTTCCATCTGTAATTAAAATTGGTCAAGCTCATCAAGGTTTAGGAAAAGTATATTTGCAAAATAAAACGAAATATTTTCTAAAAAATTGTTTTTTTGTTCTAAGATTATAATTAATAATCACTATGATTATCATGAATTGACAAGTCTGATTGAAATGAGTAAATGTTATTCTACAATTGAACCATTTATTTATGGACAATGTGATATTTATATACAAAAAATTGGACATAATTACAAAGCATTTAAGTAAACGAAACTTTTAAGTTGGCTGTCATGAGTGTGCACTTATGATGAGAATGAAATGTAGTTGTAGGCGATATAGATGATGAGATAATGATCTATGAACAAATGAAAACCTACTTATGTATTGCATAAAAGAATGAACAAGACAATGAGAATACAAGAAATGAATAGAAAAGTATGATTACTGATGAATGTAGAAGAATAAGTAGGAAGAAAAATGAGTGATGTTAAGTGTTGTCATAAGGGAACTCTAGAAATAATAATCTTTCTTTAATTAGAATCAAAGAAATGCATTGAATAAAAACTAAATAAATCAAGTTCATTAGATGTTAGTATTTTGAATTGATAAGAGCAGCCATGACGATCTATTCTAGAGGCTCTTATATTCAAGAATCGAATTGATTTGTTATCAGTAGCACATTACCGAAAACAAGGTGAAACTCATTGAAAACTGTTACCTTTAACTAGGTCAGACATAACATGAAGTGTCTCATAAAGAAAATAATGAATATTATTTGTTACATTTAGATAACATAAAATTGTACCTACTAATGAGTGATAATTAACAATTTTGATATAATTATTTATTACGTCTTTTTTTTTACCGCGATAGAATTGCTCAAGGTATTCTAAATATATTCACTTTGCGTTTAAGTCTTCTTGTTTAAATGAGTTTGATTTTCAAGGTATTGAAATACTATTGATAAAAAAAATATTTTAAACATAATATCCCAAAGAACTTTTTTCTCATATACACAGAATCATGGCAACATATGCATCGAATATGACTACCCATCATGTTGCGTTTAAATATTCATTCAAAACCGTTTGGATCGGTTTTATTTAAATGCAAAATGAGCTTGAGTTTAATTTCTTTTCAATCTGTTATTCACTCAAAAATACTATTTATGAGTTTAGACACATGTCTAATCATAACACTTCCTAGGTTACGATATTTTTTCTATCGTAAATGTGTATATTATAACTTCATTTTTAATATTAAAAGTGCTTTATGTAATAAATCATATCCGTCAGTTTATTTTAACATCATTGCATTCGATTTATTATGTAATAGATAAGACTATAGTACAATTTACTATGTCTATTGCATAGAATAATCCACATCCATTCAAAATCTTTCTTTACTTTAGACGAAAATCATTATCTGATAATTGGAAAGCAAACATTGGTTCAGTTGTCATTGAACAAATAGAATTAACTGAAAGGTTTGCATTATATTAACACATTCTATAAAAAAAATATTTTTATCTTAAAAGATATCGTTTATGGATTGATGAAGTGAGTCAAATATTTGGTGGACTTGATATATGTGCTGTTGAAATAGTTCAATCAAATGATGGAAAAGAATTTATTATTGATGTAAATGATTGTACTATGCAATTAGTCGGTGAAACATATGAAGAAGATTATCAATCTATAGCTAAACTTATTATACATAAAATGGAAATTTATTGTCGCCCTAATCAAGAGTTAACTACTGTGACGTAAATAAAATAATGTTATTCTTTTTTTTTGTATTAATAATATTTCTATTATTTATTTATTTAAAGACGAATATCGAGTTTTGATGAATTGAAAGAGATTGCACAAAATAAACCATTTCATGATTTTTCAAATGAAAATATTCAACAAACATCACATACTATTCATGTAAAAAATTTATTTAATTAGTTTTTTTCTTTTGCAATTTAATTTTACTTTCTTTGTAGACTGACGATACATTTAGTAATTTGAAAAAAGCATTCAATGAATTTTTTAGTAACATGTAAGTAAAATATTAATCATTTTTGCCATTCTATGATTGTAAATACGTTTTTTATTATTTAGGTTATCTTGACAATTTTCGACTATCGTCTGGATTACAAATAAACTAATTGAAACATTTTGATAAAAAAAAAGAACAAAGATCATTGATGTTATTTGTTAAAAACATAAAGTTATAATACTTTATTGAGTTTTTTTTGTCTTACAAACCGATTATATAAAATACGATATATAGATAATAAATCATACTTTTTATATGGCAAATAGAAGCTATTACTACAATATACTATTACGTATATAGTATCGTACTCTCATACGTTATATGTTACGTTTGACGGAGGAGCAAAGTCCGATGAAATCGAAAGTAAAAAACATCAAAACAAATTTCTTTTTCCTTACATTACATTATCGAATATAAATTATATATGTATATGCATGCGCATGATAGTCACACCCCACGATTTCTTTTTTTTCTCTTTCATTCTTCAACTTTGCTTTTTGTAAAGCAAACGAAAGCGTACGGATTCATCTATTGACATTTATTTCACCGTCTCTCACAATTTTTTCGGTACACGAAAAAATAAAAAAAACATATACATAGGTATGTTATTCATTTTTATGAAAAACCTACCCAAAACTTTCGCTGAAAGACAAATTCGAATTCAATAATCTTTCTTATGAATTATAAAATGACCTTAGTAACCTACTTTTTATATATATAAACATGATTCGTTGTTTTGTCTTTCATGTAAGAATAAAATTCTTTTCTGACTTGTAGTATACTTCAATGTTGTCACAATCCACACATATATGTCGATCCTATCGAATATTATCTTCATCTGTAATAAATCTTTCATATCGTCTTCAATCAACTGCAGTTAAAACTAATATTGCACTACCAAAATTAACACAAAGTTATTATCATCATGCATCAGAAATTCCATTGTTATATCATACAATCGGTCAACATTTAGATAATTTAGCTAATGAATATCCAGATCATCGATGTTATTCATTTAAAGGCGAGAAAAATAAATCTTATACATATAAATCATTTCTTGATGAAGTCGATAGTTTAGCTGCTGGTCTTATTGATCTTGGATTTGAAAAAAATGATCGACTTGGTGTTTGGTTACCAAATACATCGGAAAATTGTGCACTTACATATGCAGCATCAAAACTTGGTGTGATTAAAGTAATTTAATTGATTTTGAAAAACATCTTTTTTTTTTAAATTTTGAAACTAGGTCAATATCAATCCAGCTTATATGGGTCGGGAATTAATTTATTCATTAAATAAAGTTGGTTGTAAAGGTTTAGTTATGAGACCAAATGTAAAAATAATTGATTGTATTAAAATCATTAATCATATTATTCCCGAACTTAGTCAAACAAAAGGTGAAATAAATTCAAAAACATTACCAACATTGAAGCATATTATATTAACACCTGGTGACAATGGAAACACAGTTAATACACCATCAGGTATGCATTCATATACTGAACTTATACGAAAAGGTGCAAATAGTAAACAAGACGAAAGACGTACACGTCAATCACAACTGGATGGTGATACTCCACTTGCTATTTTTTATACATCAGGTACAACAGGTCAACCTAAAGCAGCTACATTAACAAATTTTAACATGTAAATATTTTTAGTCAAAAAAAACATTTTTTTTCGTTTATATTTATTATTTTAGGTTAAATAATAATTTTCATCTTTGTTATATTTATCCACAGTATATGAGTCGTGTTTGTTGTCCTATACCGACATTTCATATATTTGGTGAAATAGCAGGTACATTAAATATCAATGTACCAAAATATTTTACAGTATTTCCATCGATATTACCTGATACTGTTGAAACAATGCGAGCTATACAAGAAGAAAAATGTACGGCATTAATTGGTGCACCCATTATTTTTCGTGATTTACTTGCAAATCCAAAACGAAAAGAATTTGATATGAGATCACTTTTATTTGGTATACTTGGTGCAGCACCTGTTAATCCAGTATTAGTTGAACAACTTGAACGTGAAATTCCAATAAAAATTATTTCACAAGGATACGGTCAAACAGAAAATTCGGCATCGATGGCAATGAGTGTATTTGCTGAAGATGATAAACAACGGCGATATATATCGGTTGGAAAAGCATTACCACGACTTGAAATGAAAATAGCAGATCCGAAAGGACAAATTTTACCAATCGGACAAGAAGGTGAAATTTGTTCTCGAGGTTTTAATGTTATGAGAGGTAAATTCGTTTTTGTTTATTAAAAATAAATTATTTTTTCGTTAATTATTAGGTTACTTTGGTGATGAAGAAAAAACACGTGAAACAATAACACCTTGTGGATGGTTGAGAACAGGTGATATTGGTGTTATGGATGAACTAGGTTATGTTTATTATCGATCACGTCAAAAAGAAATGGTTATTGTCGGTGGTATTAATGTATATCCAGTTGAAGTTGAAAATTTTCTCTTAGAACATCCAAGTATAGGCGAAGCACAAGTTTTTGGTGTACCTGATAAACGATATGGTGAAGTACTTTGTGCATGGATTAAACCAAAAGCAGGTACAAAATTGGATGATGTTGAAGAAGTCAGAAAATTCTTATCGTCAAGAGTGGCATTTTTTAAAGTACCAAAATATATTAAAATTATTGAATCATTTGCTCCATTTACTACACCAACAGGCAAAGTACAAAAATTTAAATTAACAGAAACAATGGCTAAAGAATTACCAGTATCATCATCATCATAAAATATGGAGCTTTTTCTTATATGTTAATACAAATATTTTATAATAAAAAAAAGTTACAGAAGATCAATGATATAAAAAATAAATATAATAATATAACAATCTTAATTCATATTTTTCATCATATAATTCTAAATAATGGTTGATATTGTATTTCATTGATAAACTATAATAAATCAAAAACAAAAATATTCATTCACTCTATTTTGATTTTCTATGGGAAATAAAACAAAAATTTAACTCATTGATTAGATGCAAGCAACAGAGATGAGTACAGAATAAAGACTTTACAACCTGCAAATTTACAGATTAAGTTTTGGCATTCAGAAAATAGCATTTTTCTGATAAAGCAAAAATCGCACAGATCAGCTTGTTACTTGTGGGGAATGACTCGGATAGGTCTCATTTTAATTTTCAAAGTGAATAGTAAAACTTGCGAATTTAATATTCATTAGTTTTTGATGCAATAAAATAGGAATTACTATTACTCAATATGAGAATATTATTCTTCTTGGAGTTAATGAATAAAAATAATCAATGTAGTGTATATCATTGATATTTTTCTCGTTATACTATACAAAACATCCTTTCATATCATTATCTCGATAACATTTCGACAAGAAAATTAATTAATACATGAACTTGACATTCTTTTTTTCTGACCTTTTAATAGAAAAATTAATTAAATGTTGATTTATTTTTATATAAATCCTATTTTCCTTTCCATCTTATTTACAAGTACATATACGTTTTTTTTTCTTCATTTGCTTGTTCTCTATTCAAAATTAGATAACATAATCATTGTAGAATATATGACCGCAGCGAATTTTGTAATAAAGAGATAAATAAAAGAAAAAGAAAGATTGATAAGAGACATTTTTTTGTTGCTAAAAAGAGTAAAAGTTCACAAATGTTATATATATATATATATATATATAAGAATTTTGAATTTGATATCAAAACAAGGTAGGTTTTTTTTATATCATAGAAGAACACTGAATGTTATGATACAATAATTTACTCCTGTTTGGATAAATATGATACTCGAAAAGTTTCATATACTATTGTTTATCATGGAAGTGGTTATGTATACTCAAATAAATATAATGAATTAATTAGTAAATATTAACTTATATCATAGTTTTACATACTTTTGTACTATAAATGAGATCACATTTCATTTGATTTGTTAGCGTTAATATCCAAAAGCACACGGAAGATTGAAGCACAGATTAATTATCGTATTTTAATACAGATTACTACCTTGAACTGAGTGCTGATTATTCACTTTTTCAATTCGTATATCAGAAAAAATATAGTATTTTTTGTTTTATAGTTAATCAATAGAAAGAAAAGCGCTGACATCATACAATTTTCAGTAAATACAATGAAACAAAAATTCAATTATTTTCTTCGAAGCTCTATCTGGTTAATTTTTTTTATACACGTGCAACTATAAATACATATTTTATACTTCTTTTTGAATGTAATAAAGTAAAACTACTATTAAGTTATGATATAACTTACTATGTACTAATTAATTCATTATATCTCTCTGGGTGCACATAGTCTTATGGCTATGTATTCTATAATACGAAATTTATTTTAGATATTTGCATTCGTAAGGATACTATCATGTCTACTACATCACAAACATTTGATCAAGTCCTTGCATCAACCTATGTAAATCTTGCTGATGAGCGTGTTGGTACTCAGATTATTTCTGTTACTGATGAATTTTTTGCTCCAGCAATTCGTATGCTTGATCCTAAACCAGCTGTTTTTCATCCAGGAAAATTTGATGATCATGGTCAATATATGGAAGGATGGGAAAGTCGTCGAAAACGTGTCGCTGGTTATGATTGTTGTATTGTACAATTAGGTTTAGCAGGAAAAATTGTTGGTGTTGATATTGATACAAGTCATTTTACTGGAAACTATCCCGTAGCAGCATCTATTGATGCATGCTGTATTGCTAAAGGAGAAAAACCAGATAATTGGCAAGAAATTTTACATACAGTTACATTAGGTCCAAGTGCTCATCATTACCATGCAGTTAAAGTTGAAGGTCATTGGACTCATGTTCGTTTAAATATTTATCCAGATGGTGGTATAGCTCGACTTCGTATTTATGGTGTAGTTCAACCATCAGAAGATCGATTTAATGATGAAATTGATTTATTAGCTCTTGAAAATGGTGGCCGTGCTGTAGCAGCTAGTGATGAACATTATGGAAATCCTTGGTCTTTATTACGTCCTGGACGAGGTATTAATATGGGTGATGGATGGGAAACTCGACGAAGACGTGTACCTGGTAATGAATGGTGTATACTTGCATTAGGTAAACGTGGAAGAATATCACGTATTATACTTGATACTGCTCATTATAAAGGTAATTACCCTGATAAATGCATAATTCAAGGAGCTGATGTTACAGTAGATAATAGTAAATCATTAGTTACTCAATCAATGTTTTGGCAAACATTATTACCTGAACAAAAATTAACCATGGACGCTATTCATACATATGATAAAGAACAAATTATTGACCTTGGTCCAATTACTCATCTACGAGTTAATATCATTCCTGATGGTGGTCTTTCTCGAGTGCGTGCCTTTGGTCGAGTTGAATAATTTCAATATTTCATGATGACTTAATACAAACATTTTGTTTTTTTTATAATATTTGAAAGCTTTGCATTTTATTTTAGTGATTTGAATAATAATAAAAAATATGATTATATCTTTATTCAAAAATTAAATCATCTTTTTATCTTGACATTTATCAAGAATATTATAACATCTAGTATGCCTTCTTTTTCTCTTCAAACTATACAATAATTTTTATCTCAAATAATTACGTCATGTAGATCTAAAGATTTTTTTGTTAATATTCTTGTCAACAACAGTCATCTATTAGTAAATATTTACGAAAAAAGAATTCTTTGTAATCATGTGCAATATACATATGTTTTAGATTATTATCTGATAAATTAGTTTGCATTTTGACTCATCATATAAATATCATACAAAAATCTTGTGACCTTTAGTATACTTTTTTTTCTTTTCTCTATGAGTTGACACGAGTGTATGAATCATATGCCAATATTTTGAGTTTTTATTAATGTGTAAATGAAGAAGACGTCGATTGCAAAAAAACAACCAGTGACTCACCTTTTGTATTAGTTACGACTTATGCAATACTGCACCTATAAATATGTAGTTTCTTATTCTTTTTTTACATAGTGTGTGTGTATAAAAACTGCTAAATTACTCATCGATAATAAATGGCGGACGAAATTGTTAATTCTACAGATTTAAATATGGCAACTGGTGGAGTTGAAGATAGTGAAGTTGTAGTTAGCACGAAAGGTAGTGAAATGAAATATATAATATATAAATATTTTACATTGAACTATTTAGATCAACCTATGATACAAACAGTTGATGAAAATGGTTATGAATCTGAATGTAGTTCAAGTTCAAGAAGTGAAGCAGATATAGCTCGTTCAGCACTTGAAGTTGAAGCTGATGCATTTACAAGATTTATTGAACGACAACGTACTGAAGTCATGTTTGAATTACGTAATTTACGTTTAGGTGATCGACCAGTTACTGGACAACCTAATCGAGAACGAATTGAATCATTTCTTAATGATATTCAAGAAAGTCAACAAGTCGTTAGAGCACCATCAACACGACCACCAGTGCCTAGTGCTCATATGGCTGATATTAATGCATTAACAAGTCGTCGATGTGTATCAGCTGCATTAGGTAGTGCTGCCTTTCGACAAGATCTTGAAAATACTATTCGACAATCGATGGGTGGTCCTCCAGTACAACAAGTCCGAACTCCAGTCGTTGTTCAACAGCAACGTCCTCCAATCACACCAGCTGCATTACTAACTGCTGCCCAACAATTACGTTCAAATGTCACACGAACAATTCCTACACCTCCTATTCAGCAACAACTTCCACGACCCACACAGGCTATCCCTCCAGCTCCTGTTCTACAAACACCATTGAATATTCAAAGGTATTTTATTTCGAAAAATTATTTAATAATCTAAATTAATTAATTTTATAGACAAGAACGTGAATTAGATGCATGGCATACAATAACACAATTACAACGTGAAACAATTGTCGTAGAAATTAGTGATCTTGTACATCGACAATTAGTTACAAGTGCATTAGAAAGTGATTTTCGTCAACATTTGGAACATAATGTTTTAGTAAGATATTTATATTTATTTAATAAGTCAAATTAATTCATATTTTCCTATTTATATAGAGTCGTTTGGAACAAGGAACAACTGTTCAGCATGAAGGACAAACAGTACGACCACTACCACCAGTTCTTCCTCAACCAACTAGAGTTAGTTCTACTATCGTAAGTACTCTCTTCCAAATTTAAAATCTATTTTCTAACTATAAATATAATAATAGTCGACTACAAATGTTGATGCATTAACATCACGTCTTGATTCAATGCAACAAATGATGCAACTTATGTTTAAAATGCAAATGGATATGCAAAGATCATTACGTCAAGAAGTCGCAAGTGCTTTAGCTCAAAATGCTGCAGCAACAACAACAACAATGAATTCATCGACACAACCAATGATTGCTGGTCATTGTACTATTTGTTTAACTGCAACTGCTGATACAGTTCTTTATCGATGTGGTCATCTTTGTGTTTGCTATATGTGTGGATTACAACTTCAAGAAACAGCAGCACCTACTGGTGTTAAATGTAAATGTCCCGTATGTCGAGCTCCAGTTGATGATATTCTTCGTGTATATCGAAGCAGTCGTGATGGAGAATAAATTTCGAAAAAACTTGATTTTCAGATCATTTTTATTCTATTATAAATAGTTCGTAATTTTTATTATTGTAATTATATACAAATTCAACGTAAATAAATGATAATGTAGAAAAAAAGATACTAAGATCATTTTTATCAAGGTAATACTGATAATAATTTGACACAGTTAAGATATTTTATCAAAATTGAATGATTCATATTTAGTATGACTAAGCATGATGATTCAGAATTTTTTCTTATGTGTTTCAGGTGAGTATAGATTCTATTTTATTGTTCTGAATGATCTACAATCTTGTTTTTTTTTTGAAAATATAATATGGACTTTTCACACAAAAAATGGTATTAGCCGTTAAGTATATATATAGAAGAATCAAATAATAAATATTTTTAATTTTCCTTTAAAAACATTTTCTTATCTCTGTTCCTTTTTTACATGTTAATGGTTTTCTATTTCCATCATACTACCATCTATTATTGGCGTATTTACCATTCTGGTTAAATCTTCATCGACTAAAAATAATAACGATAAGAATTATTATTATTATTTATAAAAAAAAACACATACAGTATTCTAGTTGTTGTAAATATTTTATTAATTCTCTATCATTATCAACAAGAATACCATCTAAATCGATTATTTCTGATGAAGATTGTTCATCATCTAAATCATTCATTGTTATGAAATATCCGATGTTTTCATTTTCATTTGAAATATCTGGTTTTTTATTTGAAGGATGTTCATTCGTTAATTCTTTCAAAAGACGACTAGCAATTGCCGTTACTTTATGATGTTTTGTTTCTTGTGAATCTTCAATAGCTAAGAAAAACAAATATGAATAAATAGTTTTGTTTTCAATAAAATTAATTTTTACTTTGATTAACTGGAGCTGAAATGACCAATGAATAGCCACAGATAATAGTGAAAAGGCCAAGAGAAAAGAACTGCATGATTAGAATCTCTATAGGATAAAGTGCGTGTGCTTTTGAGCTTATGTATTCAACAGAATAATGAGATCTTTCTATTCTCTCTCTCTTCTTCTTCAAATGTCGATATCGTAGGCGTTATGAACACAAATTGGATAGTGGAAAAAAGAAGAAGAAGAAGAAAGAAAACACAAAAGCAACAATAAAAAAAAAGAAATATGTCAAATTTTTGTGACATTCATTCATTCATTTAACAATGATGATTTTTGTATTTTGAGTGTTAACAGAAACGACATATTTACTCACAAGATAATTTTTTCAAGGAAAATATTGACATAAGTAAATTATTTTGAACTATGAGAATTAATTGATTTGTATTTTATTGATCGTTATATGAACAATATTGTATATAATTTAATCAAAATATTAAACTACAAACTATTGATATCCATATATTGCATTATTAATCAAGCGAATCATTTTCTTGATCGAATTCATCACGCAATAAATATTAAAATTGTTTCATTATATTTATCTTATAAAATATGATGTGTGTTTAGTTCTATTTTAGCACACATGGTCATATTATTCGCACTTGTCACTTTTCAAGGAGTAATAATTCTTTATATATCGATTGAACTATAGCAATTCTATTACATAGTATCATTTTAATTGTATTTCATGTGGAGATTTGCTTCTTTGGTATAATATTACGTACGACTAATTGATCTGTTGATAGGTCAATGAGGTTGACTTTGCTTTTTTAATTCATATACATATATTTTGTAGAGGAAGAATACTTTAACATGATAATGCGCTTAGTATAATTGACTTCATTATATTTATATGGATTTGAATAAATATATGAAAACTATTAAACAAAAATAGTATATGGAATAGTTTTCAATTAACGATAAAACTTTAAGATGATAATAGAAAAATTATCAAACATAGGCTGTATGAAATGAAGGATTGTAGTTTGAGGAAAAAACAAAATGAAAGTCAATGTTTAACGGGAAATAATACAGAATAAATTGAATCTGAGAAAATCCTGTTTTTGCCTGCGAGGTAGCGAATTAATTCAGATTATTTGCAAAACGAGAGGACGCCACCATTTTTAACGATTTGAGCGTCATCTTCAATCATATTTTCACATTGCTTATAGTGTTACATGCATCAATGTGCAGTCTTTTTTTTTGCTTTAATAACCAATCATTATTATCATCATTTTCGAAATTATTTTATAGAAAAAGAAATTATACAATCTTCTCAAAAAAACTAAAAATGTCATCTACAGATGGTACAAATAATAAGACTGATGAATATATTAAACTTCGAGTTGTTGGACAAGATAATAGTTAGTAGTGTGATATTATTTCATTTTGACATATATATATATATATATGATTTTAATTTTTAGGTGAAGTTCATTTTAAAGTTAAAATGACAACATCAATGGGTAAACTTAAAAAATCATATGCTGAACGTCAAGGTAAAAGAAAAAACATATCTAATAATAATCCTATTTTATTCAATTTAATTAGGTGTTGCTGTCAATAGTTTACGGTAGATTATATTTAAAAAATCTATGAAATTATCTTTTATTTTCATAGATTTCTCTTTGATGGTAAACGTATTAATGATGACGAAACGCCAAAGCTTTTAGAAATGGAAGATAATGATACAATTGATGTGTATCAAGAACAAGTATATAATAACATATAAAAATATTTCTTTTTTAAATTTTATTCTTTCTAGGTTGGTGGTAGTCAATCATTCCATACTAAATAAATCATTCTAAATGAAAATATTTCATTTGTTTTTCTTTTTTTTTGTTTCGTATGTAATTTTTATTCGGAAAAAAAACAAATTGTACGTTTATTTTTACTTTTTTTTAAATGTTTTTAAAAAAATATTGTATGTGATTGTTATAATGAAAGAAAAAAAAACAAATCTAATATGATACATTTGAATTTCTCTTAGATTCAGAGATAAATGAATACACCAAAACGGTAAGATTAGAATTATTTACTTCGCTTTTTACTTTATTTGGGTATTAAGATTACTCTCAGGTTGTGATGATACATCAGAATATTTACCAACAAGAAGACGATCGAGATCACCAAATGCTGATTTAATAACGCCAATTGATGGACAAATAGAACAAGTGGCTAAAAGACATCGTGTACCGAGTGATACTGTCAAACGTATTATCTCCGTAGGTTTTTGAAATATAAAAAGAAATGCTTATATACGAAATTAAAAGAATTCTATTATAGGACCTTTTAACTGAATCAACAGTCATCGATTATCTTCGTACACGAATTAATCAAGATAATTCAACTGATGTAAATTGTTTATTATCATCACATGATAATTATTTTTTTTCGTATTTTCATAGCCATCAAGAAATGATGAATCTCTTCTTCCTCCAACGAATTATTTTGATAGTTCATCACAGTTAAATTCTTCGAATACATTTTCATTAAATCAACAGCCAAATTTATTATCATCAACAGCGATAGTTGATGAATATGATCCACTTTGGCTTGAATTTCTTCAATCACTTAATACAGTTGATAATAATAATTCGAATAATATACAACAAAATATAACACAATCAACGGTTACATTTGATTCGTTATTTAGTGAAAATGATGATGATGATGAAGAATTTATTGGACCTGATGATGAAAATCATATTGAAACTATTGATGAAAGAAAATTACGTGTATCAAGTATAATTCAACTAAATTTTATTTTTAGAAAATAATAAAATCTTTTGCTTTTAGAACGTGAATTAGCATTATTATTAAAAGATAGTAATGCCTCACCACAGAATGATGTGTAAGTTCTTATATTTCAAAGAAAATGAGTTTCTATTTTTGTTCTTTTTTATATTACAGTTCTTGTGCTGATGAAGAAATACTTCGCGGTGATCAATATGAATCATTATGGACGGAATTTTTAGCTTCTCTTCAAACAGGAACAGATTCTAAAACTGATTATCAGCAGGATGAACAACAAAAATCTATAATAACAACAACAACAGAAGATGATGATATTGATGATGATCCAGAATTTCGATTACCAGAAACAGATTATGAAATTGATGATGATCTCGGGGATGAATTACATGTCTCAAGTGAATTTTAATACATTTAAAAATTCTTGATCTATTTTCATTTTTTAAAGAACGTGAATTGGCTTTACTATTGGAAGATAATGCATCGATATTAAATCAAGAAGATATTCCAAATAGGTATTGAAAAGGACATAATCTAATATATAAAATACCAGAGATGAAATCGATCTAGATCAAGTAGACGTAAATGATTTAACTTTTGTCTACTATGTTCGAAGATAGACCAAACTAGTAATAATTATAATCATATGTCATTTCATAGAAGAACTTATAACTACCGAGGGAACCGCCCGACGTGATTAAGTGCTTTTTAGCTGATATTTTGCCCACATGCATGTCTTATGACCCGTATATTATCCTAAAAGTTTCAGCTAAAACGAACGATTTTTTCTCAAAATAACAAGTACTCACGGAAAGCCAGTTTTCTTGCTATCTCTGTAGTATGAGACGGTTTGTTTAACAAGTAGATATTTCGTAAAAGAAATGTTTGTTTTAGCCGAAAAATTTCAGGATAATATAAGGGTCATATAACATGCATGTGGACAAAATCTACTAAAATGACCCTAACTCACGAAGAAAGAACTATGGGCTCTTATCCTTCTATCCGATTAATAAAACTGTAGACTGATTACTATTCCCGCTGACGAAATATTCATGCAAATCAGAGATCGATTCGAATTGTAAACATGATGAATCTAAAAAAGTGAATATATCTTAATAGGAATGAATTTGTTAATCCTGAATCTGTTTCATCAAATACAACTTGTTCTACAATAACAAAAACAACAACAACAACAACAGCAGAAATTCAATTAACATCTGATCAACGTGATATTCTTCAATATCAATTAACAGCTGTAAAATTGAATTTATATTTTATGAGAAATATCGGTTTTCTTTGTAGTATGTTCAATTATTAACTCAATATATTTTATTACGTCGTGAAACAAATTCATTATCATCTGATGAACAATCTCCTCAACAACTTTTTGTAAAAAACTTTTTTCTTAATAAAAAAACAAAAAACTGCTTTATTTTTCTTCTGTAGAATGATCTTATCTATTTCCGTAATAAACATTCCAATTCAATTTTAAATATACCTTTATTAACCGAAGCACAACGATTACTTGAATCTCCTGCACCATCTAGTCGACGAAAAGCTTTCGGTTTATTAATTTTTTTTAAAATTTCTTCAAAATAATCACCATATTCTTATTCTATAGGTAATCATCTTCCGTTTTATTTAATGGATACATTTTGTAAGAATTCAGCATTTGTACATGATTCATTATTACCAACTTGTTTATTATCTCCGACAAATTCAAATATGACAACATTATTTAATAATCAAACATCAAGAAATTTTGTATCCGGTGAAGATTGGTTCGTTTTAGTTTATTTCTTTTTCACTTTACAAAAATATTTCCTATGAAATTTAGTTTAATGGCACTTGGTCTCGAACAAAATGATGTAAAAATGTTAATTATTGGACATAATGAAAAGATTATTAATGATCGTCTTAATAGTCTTCGATATGTTCGTGTACGACGTGGAAAACAAAATCCAATTAAAGCTTTTTTTACTTATGGTTCTGTGCCTGATATATCCTTACATCCTTGGTATCGTATTCCAGATGGACATGATATAAATCAAATCTATCCAAACGGACTTATTGAAAAAGATAATGTTATTTTTCCTTCTTGGTTTCGACTTGTAAGTCATTGTATATCGTTCTTTTTTATACAAAAAAAACAAATTATTTTAGTCGTATAAACGATCAAGACAATTATCAAAACGAACAGATAATTCAACTATTCCAACAACAGCAACAACAACAACTTCGATTATTGATCCAAATGATAGCGTATCTTCATCGACTGTTTATGTTGTTGTAGAAGATTCATCATCAAATTCTCGTACAACAACATCACCTAATAAAGTTTTACAACAAATTCATATGTTACATTTACTAAATTCTTATCCTAAATTGCAACCAAAACAACAATAACAACATCTACAATAATAACAAGAGTACTTTACATTAGTCAGATTTTTCTACTTGTTTTGTTTTCTTTCGGTTTAGAGAATTCAATTCTCGCTTGTAAAATATCTTTATTTAATTTCGATATGATATAATAAAACGATCTGAATTATAATACAGAATCTTTTTTTGTTAAATATATACGTATTTCATTGCAGTAATTCTAAAAGCTCTCAAATATCATAGTATTATATAAGACTAGATTGCATTCGACTTCCACTCAATTGCGATTTTCGATGCAAAGCTTCAAATTTCGAAGAATTGATAATCTAGAAAAACGAACCGTCGTCTCTGAGAATGAGCATGGAGTAAGTCTCCAAGAAAAAACGTATTTTTCAACCTATTGAAACTTGTACTCTACCATTATTCATCTATATGAAAATGCCTTGTTATATGGCTTTATGTAAGTAAACGAATAGTATCGGTTTCAAGCGAGTCTACAGCAATTTGTCTTTTTTCAAATCATCATGACCTAGCGAGCCATATAATTTCTAACTAATTCATAAGTAGCTAATTTATTATTAAATACTCTTTTAGAAACGACAAGTGAGTGTTACCAATATTAGTTAAGTCGCATCAATATTTTCTTTCTCGTACATTTACTTGTGTATCAATGATAAAATTCTTTAAATGGAAAAGAAGACAATGCCTGGCTTCATCTTTTGATGAACATCTTCTGGTAATAATAATGAGAAAATAGATAGTATATAATCAACAATAAAAAGTGGAAGAAATAATAAATTTTAATTGAATGCTGACAAATAATACAATAGTATTTAACCTGAAACTTGAATTCAATTACTCAATCACTTACTTTTATCTTCTTATATATAAGTTTTCTCCGGAAAGGCAGATTTCTGCCATCACTGAGGCTCTTTCTTAGAAATATAGATCACACTTGCCGAATAGTCACATATATATCCCAAATATCTATTTCCTCCGTTTCATTAAAAAAAGTCGGGAAGAAAAACATTTATTCGGAACTGTTCGTATGAAAGATATCATTTGACTAAAAGAATGGTTCATTAAGTCTAGAATATCCCTTTTCTTGTTTTTGTCGAACTTTGTAATGGATATGATCAGATCATTTCACAGTTATTGTCAAAATATATTTTCCATTATTTCGGAGAATTAATTTAGTTCTATGATTTTGTATCGTATATAGACATACGAAGAAGTCTCCGATATTTGAATCAACAGTATAAGTTTTCTTCTTTCCTCGTCTCTACCGATAATTATTTCTCGGTATTTATACATTTTTGTTATTCTAGATCAAATTCAACGTTCAGTGTATTGAAAGTAACAAGAAACTATTTTTCTAATTATTGTTGTGTCTGTAATGAATATTTACCTATTATTTCTTTTGTTTTTTTTTAAAGTCTGATTTAGAAAATATCATATCGCTGCGCTTGTCATGACTTTAATGAAATTATTTAGATAGGATATTCTCCACTGAAAATATCAGAACACTGATATATGAAATATAATTAAAACTGTTACTTAATATCTTTTTAAATAAAAGAGAATTAGAAAAAGAGAGAAAGACTAGTTATCAGTATAGCATTTGCGTTTTCTTAATATTCGAGCACACCATAATATTTTATTGTTCATTCTAGAATTAGATTGAGACAATGGTAGATAATAAAAAACGAGTTTTTTGGCATTTTACATTCAAAGATATATTAACTATTTTATGTTCAGCAGCTATACCCATAGCTCTTGCTATTTATACTGCAATTGGGTCTCAACAACAAAAAGAACAAGATGAGAAAAAACAAAAGTTTGATTTGGAACAATCCACACAATTACGACAACAAACACTTTATGATGAATTTTTAAATAATATTTTTAAATTGGATTACTATGGTTATCTAAAGGAGAGAAAAAATCCATGGGCATTTGCAAATGCATATTATCGTGCTGCTGATCGCCAATGGGATACAATACGTAAAGCAGATGTTTTAAAATTTCTTAAAGAAAAGCACCTAATTGGTAGAAATAATTGTACTGAAGGATGTAAAACGACAAATTTAGATGATATAATTCGTTTAAATGAATTAAATTTGGATAATGTACATCTGGCAAGTCAAACAGGTGTATTAAATAAGTTAAATTTACAATGTGTTTCTTTTGATCAAGTATCAATGTCAAATGCAATATTTTCATTTGCTAGTTTAAATGGTGCATCATTTGATGGAGCACAGTTAGATAAGGCAAAATTTGATGGTTCATCTTTACTTTGTGCTAGTTTCAATAGTGTAAATCTGTCGGGAGCAGATTTTACAAACTCAGATTTGACAGGTGCAAAATTTTCAAACAGTGATATGTCAGGAGCTAAAATAACGAAAGATCAAATAAAACAGGCATATTTTCATAATGTAATTATGCCAAATGGAGAGAAGAGTGAAAATACATCATCAATCACAACAAAAAAATCTACAACACAAATAACAACAACATCAATCGGTCAGTAATATGCCACACGAATGATACTACCTTGTTTTTTAGTTGTCAATCGATCAATTCTTGTTCAGTTTGAGAAACTATACACTTAGAAGTTCCTGTTTCCTGAATATTTTTGAAGGTGATAAGTAATTTTCAGACAACATTTCTTTTTGGATATTATTTTGAACGATAGTCATATCATTTGTTTGTAATATTGCTAAAATTGTTTTATTTTGTTTTATATTCATGAGATAGATTCCTGTAGAATTTTGTGTTGGATGAAATCCAGAATCGCTTAAGGGAGAATTCAGCTCGACGCTACAACAAGTGGTAATAGATCTACAAAATACAAAATTTATTCAGTTTTAGCTCTATATATATGTCGATCTTTGTATGTTAGATTTAACTTATCTATTGGTATGTACAGGACCAAAGGTATTAAAGGAAGTACTATTTTATATAGAAAAGTAAAAGAAGACAAATTTCATTTCTCCTGAACTCCTTTTGTTCAGTTTAAGCTTCCCATGTAAATCTCAGAAAGAATCAGACATTCTCGTGTTATACCCCGAGGTATTCTATGTCTCTTCGTTTTAGTGAAGAGATTTTTCAGTGCTCTTGAATAAATCGACCTATCATGTGATTGGAAGATCTTCGTTGGATTCACTTGATATTACTAAATTTGAATAAAAGTATGCTTTTAGAGAGGTTCCATCTAAATTTTAGTGTTTTCTGATAGCTTTGTATAGTGAAGACATAATTTAGTGATTTTTGCCACGTGTTAGTTTATCTCAATATGTATTCATCAGAATGTCATAAAATTAATTTTGTATTGAAAAGACATTGCAAAGAATGATGTCATATGAAAAAATGAATGCAGAAGAGAGAAATGTATTAACTGAACTCGACATTAAAAACTGTGGTAGTGTCGTAATAGATTAAACCGTCCTTCATGACGTTAAATAGAATTGGAAAAACGATGAAAGTAGTGCGATTGTAGAAGATCGCAATTAGTCATAAACATAGTGGAATGGTTTTACTGGTTTGATTTCAGTTAAGACGAACTGTTACAGATTAAATAGAATAAGACGATGAAATACTGTTTTTTTAATGATAAAAACTGTAACCGAAATCTTTTTTTCTTATTTACCAGTTTATAAAAGTATGTTTCTTAATCAAACTACGTACGAAGTTGATTCACGACCATATGCAGTAGCAGTAGCCGATGTGAACAACGACAATAAATCCGATATTGTTACTGCAAATTTGGATTCAAACACCGTCAGTGTTCTTCTCAACGCGGGCAACGGCACTTTTTCTCCTCCGACCAATTACTCTGTTGGTTACGCTCCAGGATCAGTAGCAATAGCCGATGTGAACGGCGACAATAAACCCGATATTATTACCGGAAATGGCGCTTCAGCTACCGTCAGTGTTCTTCTGAATATAGGCAACAGCACTTTTTCTTCTCGAACTAACTACCAACTTGATGCATATTCGCGATTAGTAGCAGTAACCGATGTAAATAGTGACAATAAACCCGATATTGTCATCGCAAGTAGTGATGCAAGGATCCCCATCAGTGTTATTCTCAATATAGGCAACGGCACCTTTTATCAGCAAGCTGCTTACGCAGTTGATTTACAAATATTTGCAGTAGCTGCAGCCGATGTGAATAGTGACAATAGACCCGATATTATCACTGTAAATGCAGCTTCAAATACCACCAGTGTTCTTCTCAATGGAGGCAATGGCATTTTTTATCATCAAGCTACTTACGCAGTTGGTTCCCAGCCATTTGCAGTAGCTGCAGCCGATGTGAACAACGACAACAAACCCGATATTGTTACTGCAAATCAAGGTTCAAACACCACCAGTGTTCTTCTCAATACAGGCAACGGTACTTTTTCTCCTCAAGTTACTTACCCAGTTGGTGCAAATCCACAGTCAATAGCAGTAGTCGATGTGAACAGCGACAACAAACCCGATATTGTCGCTACAAATGTGAATTCAGACACCGTCAGTGTTCTGCTCAACACAGACAACGGCACTTTTTCTCCTCCAACTACTTACGCAGTTGGTGCACATCCACTATCAGTAGCAGTAGCCGATGTAAACAGTGACAATAAACCCGATATTGTCACTGCAAATGAGCATTCAAACACCATTAGCGTTCTCCTACACTATTAAAGTTTATTTCTCCATCATATTCAACATACTTATTGACACTTCGATACTCTACCAAGAATCTTATCCTATGATTAACCACTTGACAATATGGAGCGAATAACAGTGTTCGTTCGATACCAAAACTTTCCTATTATCAATCTTTCACTAAAACTCATTAATGCTTTCACTTTCAGCTTCTTGTACTGTTTTTTTTGCTTGAATCAATGGAAAGCAAACTGATCCTATCTTTTGACGCAAAGAATAGTCTGAGTACATGGATGAAGATGTGATTAGGTGTAGATATGAATAATCATATCAGTATCTACATCCACCCTTCTTAGAATCAGTAGTAGTGAAAACTGATGAGAAGTGCTGACTATAAATCAGCAAGTGATCAGTTTGCCAGTTTGATCATATTTTACGATTGCTTTTCATTATATGTCATTTATCACCAATAAATATATTCATTAAACACTTCAGTTTGTATATATTGCTCACACGGAAAATAGTCTTAAGAGAGCCTCTTTACGAAAACCACATCTACACCCCGTTTGTTATGAAAGATAAAAGAGGATCTTTCTTTAATAGAGAAGAATATTCTATGAAATCATTATCTGACCGCGCACATTTATAAGTAAATATTAAAAGAAATCGATCAAAAATGAATATCATGATCACAAATGATCAAATATTTGCGACGAGTATTGAGAAGAATTTTGTTTCAGTTTAGTTTTTTGATGAAATTTTGGTTCAATTCAAAATTGTAGTTTCATCGCCTATCAATCAAATTGGTAAGAACCGATCAGTTCGATTACAACAATTTCTTTCGTTTTAAAAAAAATGATAAAATATATATTTATCATGCTTGATCAGCTCGTAAAAGTATATGATGCAGATGAAAAATCTCAAAACAAAAATCATATGTAATATAATATACTTCCTTTACTCGTTCTGATTCTATTGTAGAACGAATAAGTTTGTTTATGTATGTGTCATGAAATATATTTTTTCAAAAACAAAGTCAGAGGACGATATATTAGTAATTATCAAAAAAGAAGAAATCTATTGATTTTTTGATTTTTCGTGTCTTATCTGTAAGTAAATAAGCATTAATTATCTTTGGTTATGTTTTTCAGAAATTAAATCAGCATTTTTGATTTTTACAAATTAAACTTGAATAATCATGAAGATGATGAATATAAAGAAAGTATAATTTTTATTTGCTTTTATCCCGATAATGAAATTGAAGATTTAAAGAAACGATTCTATGTTAATCGAATACAATCTCAAATAGATATTTTTCATGAAAAATTAAATATAATTGATATTTACGATAATTTCAACCGATTATTTTCATTAATTGAAGAACAATATTATAAATGGATATTTTTTAATCAGGAAAACTATTTATTTAGAGATTTATCAAAATAATTAAATGATTTTCATTAGATACGACTAGTTCGTCAAGCTATTTTACATTTTGTACATGATGACCAGACGAAAAAAGAGTGTGGGTATGGCTGTTCATGACGAATGACTAGAATATCCACATCCATCCTTTCAGTATTAATCTTGAGTCGAAAATTCAAGTCTAGATGTTTGATCAAGTCGTTTGAACAAGCAAAAGCTTTGTTTAATCTGATCCTCTTTTCATCAAATTTATCAAAAAGAATTACAAAATAAAAGAACACACTTATATATTTAAGGCCTCAGTACTTATAGTGAGTGTCGATATTTAAAATAATTTTCTTACATACTAAATCGAGATCATAAGAAAAACATACGGAAAATCGATTAATAAACTTTTAAACAGTATCGGTTTGTTTATTGAAAAAGTAACTAGGCTCATAATTATTATATTAAGTTCAAATTTCCAGTCTGTTGCTTCTACAGAAGCCATATTTACATGACTGATTTTAATTGCAACAAGATTACATTGCACATGATCACGATCAAACTCATTAACAGAACGAGCAACTAGATAGTAATCTTCTTTTGCATGATGCTTAATTAATAATTGAATGTAAACGAATTCTTTAAGTTATTAAAATACAGAAATGTATGCAAAATTTTTATAAGTAATTGACATTCATAATATCTGTTTTACAAAAAGATTTTCTTGTTCAGTTTTCGGATCATCTACTTTTTCATCATTATTTCTTCTCATTCTTCTCTCAAAATTTTCGAAGTCTTGAGGGAATCATCAGTGATCATTCGTTAACACAACTGACTAATGTTTCCAGAAGATAATCAATATACTTGCATTCATAATAAATGAGAAATACTATTTATAATCACTTCTCAAATTCAACGAAATTATTTCAAGAATTCTATACATATATGCTAGATATGAACAAATTATGAATGAAATAAAAAACTTAAATAATCTTTCTCTTGAATACATAGAATAATCTTCTTTTCTTTTTTTATAATAATTGATAAATACTTACTTATTGTAACATATAATAAACATAGAATCTTGCGATTCAATATTATCGAAACATTTTTGTTACATGAAGTTAAAGAATATATGCTGATGTTAATGAAATCTTAATCTAACTATTTACATTACGATCTATAAGAAGGAAATTTATCTTTACTATTAATGCAACTGGAAACATAATGTATATATTTCAAAGCATTATTTTATTGACATATATCTTTGAATAAAACTGATTTTCATCTATTGTAAAGAATAATTAATTATATAAAGATTGATCATTTGAATGTTATTTTGAAAAAGTAAAACCGATATTTGTATTCATATTAAAGATAAATAGAATCCCAAATAACTTAAAAACAGAAGATGTAAGAGTCATTTTGAACAACGATTATATATTGAAATTAGTCGTCTATATAACCGTATGTCATCCTTCAATATCATCAATGAGATAGACTAAGATAGAATTCAAAGTTGATAGGGTATATGAATAGAATTTCATATACCTGTATATATATACAGGTATTCTATACATTTAGTATGGATGAGTTCATCAATGGTATGAAGTATTCTTTAATATTGGAAGAGAAAGAATAATTCATTCTATTGACAAAATAAACTTTTTCTCTTCTCCTAGTCTTCTATGTTTCTATTAAGTATCTTTCTTTTTTATCTAACATAACGAAACTCTACTTGTTCAAATATAATAATGTGACCGTGAAGATCTTTTCTACAATACATATCTTTTCAATGTGTATTGTTAACCTTAACGATGAGTGTTACTGCTCATATTGTGCTCTTAACAAGAACAGAATTTTAATAGAGACACGTTTTCTTTTTTTACCAGTTTTATTTTACTTTTAAAAAAATATAGAAAGAAATCATAATTTCTTTTTTACGCGTTCGAGGTTGCTTTTCCATCGTTGAAGATCAGGATGATTTGTTGGTAATGACTGTTGTCCAATTTGTATAGCACGTTCATAAAATGAATGTGCTTTTGAATAGTTGCCCATCTTCGCATATACTATACCGATATTGTTATAGGACATACCCAAATCAGGATGATTGGAAGGTAGTGATTGTTGTCGAATTGCAAGGGCTTTTTCATGAGATGAAATTGC